CTCTACTTTCTATTCATATAAGTATTAGCATTTCATAAATGAAAATAAGGGAACCCATCTTTAAACCACCGTGTATGTTTTTACCATCATTAAAATAGTTTTTGAGTTTATCACTATTTGTATCATTGTTAGTGATTATTCCAGATTGTAAAAATGGTAGAATATTGACGGCAGAAAATGGAACATTAAAATGTAACTGTCCACTAAACACATTCGGTGACGATTGCAGTAAGTACAAATTAAAAAAAAGAAATTTACCAATCTCTCCTCGTTCGTCTAGTAGTTCAGATGGGACAATAAACCTAGGCCCCATTTGCTACAGGCTGTACATGTTAAAGATATCTCGACAGTTGGAAATCGAACAAGAGTAGATTAATGCCGCTGTCCTGGTAAAAAATTCCCCTCATTGCACACTGCATGGCGTTGCCCGTCTTTAATCATTAGCCCACATGGTGCAGAAAAGTAGGACGTAAAACTCCATTCATTTCATTTTTCAAATTTTGTCATTGATATTTTAGAATGTGGGTACAAGTACAAAATTTCCCTCATTGTACACTGCATGGCGTTGTCCGTCTCCATTAGCCCAATTAGAAAAGTAAGACGTAACATTCCATTCATTTCATTTTTCAGATTGTCGATACAAGTTTACAAATAAAACAACTATGTTTCCCAAACCCTACGCAGAAAAATTTATATCTGATTCAGCGATATGTGATGAAAGCTGTGCTAACGATATCAGATGTTCCGCTGCTGCCGTGTCTGTTGGTACTAGAAAATGTTGTCATTACGATACACCAATCATCTTCGTGTCGTATGTGTTAAATGAAGACCAATGTATTGAAAAGTGCAACGAGATGAGTGAATGTAAAACAATTGGCATTGGAAACGAAATGGGTTTGTTCTGTTTTGTATTTAACGCCACCTTTGACAAGATTCCAGATATTATGAAACAAACTGACACTAGCGCTTTTAGCGTAGCAGAAAAAATCTGCGAATAATAAAAAAAAACATGTTTATCATGATATAGACCTATCTCTTTTTTATTTTTGGCAATAACCTTGGGTATAAGGGGGTGAGAGCCGACTCTAAGAAACAAAGGCACAGGCATCAAAATTATTCTTACTTTCGAACCCAATGCACCTAATCACCTAGCAGACTATAATCCAACTCGCTACCGACTGAGCTATTCTAGAAACTAGGTATTAGGTGGGTTAGAGCTGACTCTCGGAAGCACAGGCATCAGAATTGTCTTTACCTTGTGGAGGATTCAAACCCACGGCACCTAATCACTTAGCAGACGACAACGAAAGAGATATTCTAGCATGGGCAAGGATAGGTAATGATCGTTTTATATTGAGAGTAAACGAGGTTCACTATATACCCTTGAGGTTGACGTAGATAACAGAGGGAAAAGACATTAAAACGCAGCCGTATTGCATTGGATACGTCTACATGAAGTCCTAAAAATAGAATTGTATCACTGCACGAGCATAGATCATAGAGAGTCTCACATGTCTTGTGTGTATTTCAAAT